GCAGCTGTGTTATGTCACTCTTCCCCATGTTGTGTCCAGTTAACTCCCCCCCTTCAAAGAAAAAAAAAACGGAAGCGTTAGACATGTGTAATTTATTGCAAAGTGGACACCCATTCAACGTTCACCAATTGAGGCCCTTCTTCACGTAAGTAGCATTCTTCGTTATGCAGAAGGTGTGTCTATATGTGTCCAAACCTCCCCATGTGTGTGCGCATAACTACTCAATTGAGCACACGACATGTTCCTCCCCCCGCGCTGTATTCCGCTTCTTCCGAAGGAGCGCAGCCATAGGGAACGCTCAAGCGTTAAACACTTTGAGGAAGGAAAAGAGGAACGTGGGGGAGCAGTTAAAACCCTCGCGTGGGTGATGAAATTAGGGGGGGGGGTTCTCTAGGCTAATTTGATAAGGGGTAGCCAGTGATAAGTTTCTAAGGAAAAAGAAAAAGAGAAAAATAGAAAAGAAAAAAAAAAAAAAAAACAATGAACCGATTACCCGATGAACCTCCTACCCGATTAACCGCGTAGTCCACCTAGCTGGGCAGGAAAAAACAAAGCCGCGCTGTCCAACTTGCCCACTTTTTTCGACCAGTCGGGAAATATAGGAGGGGAAATTAACCCCTATAAAGGCACCTGTTCCTTTTTCTCTCACCAACAAAGTGCATTTATATTTTGCCCCTCGCAAAGCTCTTTGACACAAAATCGACATAGCGTAACAGACGCACAGCAGTCTACTTCCACTTTTACACGTCCGGCAGAGCAGCAGAAGGGTGTGTCTGTTGGGCCGATATGGACAGAGCCCAAAGTGCACAGTTGGACGCACGCGAAAGAGAGAAAAAAAATAAAAATAAAAATAAATGCTTTAAATGGAAATAACCTACATGTTTCTCCGTTTCCCAAACCGCGCGCATTAATTTTGCGAGTAGGAGCAAGTCCTGTCAGTCTCAGTTCTACCTGTGAGGAGGAGCGTCTAAAAAGGGGAGTGCAAGGCGATCACACGATCACTCTGCCGCGTTTCGACATTTGCTCATTTCATTTTTGTGAACCAACCTTATCGAACTTGCCCTCAAATATGAATGACACGGAGAAGTTTGAGGTAATTGGAAGTGACGTCCAAGCGTGCACCCTGCGTGGGCCGAATGGGGATGCCATTCTCTTGCATTGGCAATGCTAAAGAGTGCTTCGTCTCCAGTGGCTTCTTTGCATGCCCCCTTTTTTTTTTTCCTCCCTTTGCTGCACCCCTCCCCGCGCACGAAGCCCAAATAAATCAACTATACTCCCCATGTAGGACGAATTCGACATTGAGCTGATGGAGGAGATAGGAAAACAGGTAATTGTTCAACGACAGAGAGACATAGCGGTCGATTCCCGCCATGGGGCATGCAGGACAGGTCTGTGTGTCCACGTGATGCGCGCTAAAGTGTGATGTTGAAAATATTGCGGGTGTATGTCTCTTTTTTTTTTTTTTTTTTTTTTCCAACTTGGCCAAAGACCATTTCGCAATTTCTGGAAAAAATGCACTACAATGAGGAGAAAACGAATTTCTGGGTATCTCAGATTCTGGACACAACACTGAAGGAGTTATCCAAACTGAACAAGCCGTTTAAATACGTTGGTACGTTTGGCACCTGCCCTGAGAGCACGCAGTAGAGTAGTCACCCTCACGCAGACACTGAGGAGCAATACCCGATTAACTAGCACAAGCACAGAGAGGATAAAATTGCATCAGTGTTGACCCCCCGTTTGGCGTTGTTCACACAACTGAGTAGCCAAACAAATAGCCCCAATCACCCCGAACAGTGCCCATAATGCCTCATTTAAGTGATTTATTTTGGAGTTTTCCGCGGTGATCTCCCGAGTGTGCCCCTATAGTAGGCATCTCTCAACCAAATGGCTAATCGTGTGTGCATTTTTTTTTTTTTCCAAAATAGCTACCTGCATTTTGATGGAGAAGAACGGATCGCCGCTAACAACATCGAACGTTTGTCTGTGGAACGAAAACTCCGACGGTTCGTAGTTTGCAGTGAGGGAAAGCGCCACGTTTAGGAGAGAACGAAGGCCGTGCTGAGAAGAGCAACTGCGCGAAATGTTAACGCAGAATGGGGTACATGTGAGGGTGTGTGAGTACAAATGTTTGAACACACGAGTGAATGGACGGGGACGTGTGCGCCCCAGGGAGAGACACCAAGCTGGAGAAGCCCCCCACCTACACCTGCGAGGAATGGGGATAATAGAAAATTTGCAAACACCTGAGAGTTTATCCCCTCCCCTGCCCCTCTGGTTTAAACATTCTATTTTACCTTTATTTTTTTACATTTTTTCCGTTTTTTTTAACATCTTTTCCGTGTTTCTTTGCACCCCCCCCCGGTGACTCTCCCTCCGCAGGCCTTTGCAGCGTCCAAATGGGAAATGAAACTCTTGATTGCATCCTCTGCATATATGCCATAAAAACGTGAAGCACATTTTCACGGGAAAATTGGGTCCCTCCGCTGGGTCTGCTCTCCCCCCTTTGTCCATCGCGCTCTTCATTTTTCCAATCCCTCGTGTGTTCATCTGTATGTCTGCCCCGCCGCGCGATGCTTACCACATTTTTGCGCACTTTTTTTTTCCCCCGTGGGATGAAATGCCCCTGTCTATGTGTGCACCTGGGTTAACTTCTAAACTAAATGTCATTGTAAAAGGGGAACGTCCCTCTTATTCTCCCCCCCCTCGCAATGAGTTCATTAGCTCCTGCCTTCCACATAATGTCGTTCGGGACCGGAAAAAGGGGAAAAAAAGAAAAAAAAAGGAAAGGAAAACAAAGCAAAGTAAAATAAAGTAAACTAAAGTAATCCATTTTAATGCCTTCTTGAAAAAAACGGAACCCCCATCTGTGGACCATCCTACTCTGTTGCTTCTTCTTTTTTTCCCCTCCATGTGGGTGACTGCCCCGCTGTAGAGGGTCCCCAAAAGGGAACGCATGAAAAATGTGAAAAGACAAACTTGTCCATATTTATAGCTTCACATACAAAGGTCTTCGGCACACCAAAATGGACGAACTGTATCAGCACCTCAAAATGATGGACTACATCATTATATGCCTCACGAACAAGTACCGACTTGTTCACAACTATGTCAAAGGAGTAGCAGACATCTTTGCAGTGACGATTGATGAATATCATAAGCTCATTCAGAAGATCACTTCTCTGTACAAAGAGAGCCTTTACAACTCGGTCCATGCTAACCTCGTCCAGCTGAGGAAAGATGTGGAGAGGCAACGGGCGCACGTAACAGAGAGAGCGGCTGCAAAGCGATCGTGCGGGGGGCATTGGAAGTGGATATGCTTTCGCGGCTAACATGACGTGGATAATCTGTCGCGGCTAACATGACGTGGATAATCTGTCGCGGCTAACTTGACGTGGATAATCTGTCGCGGCTAACTTGACGTGGATTACCTGCCACGGCCAACCTGATGCTAACGGGCAGATGAGGTTGCTCCAGTGGACAAGGAGCCCCTCCCCTTTTTTCCCCCCCTTAAGGATAAAAACCTCACGGAGATAAAAGAGAATCTAAGGAGGGCAATCAAACTGACCAAAACGGGTGACATTTGCGCTGCAGTGGAAGCTGAAGAGAAGGTAAGCGGGCGCGCCGTCCTAGCGCCGGAGATGTCTTCCCAGCAGCGGTGATGCCCCCTCAGCAGGGTCGTTGTGTCATCTTTCCATTCACGTCCGTGTGCCATCTTGTCATTCGCTTCGACTGAGGCCCACTGGCCAATACCCACATGTGTGCCCCTCTTCTCACGGCCACTCCCTCCTCTCCCCAATTCGAAGAGGCAAATTCAAATAGACACCACGCTCAAAATGGACCCCCCCTACGACACGGCAGCCCTGTACAAATTTAGGCACTACAGGAACGCCTTCCTCAAGAGGTACTCGACGATAACGAAGAACGGCAACTACTTGGTAGGCACTGTGGGGCGAGACGCTTCATTGGGAGGCACACGCCTCCCCCATGTTTCGCACCTGATCAGCAGAAACAACGCCACAGATTAGCTCCCAACAATGGAAGGGTGTGTAATTGTCCCGTCTACTTCGGCACTCCACCGGTACATCCTGTGTCTATCCATTGGTACCCCATGCAGAATGCAAATGAGCAAAGGAAACGCTTTCTGCGGAAGTTGAAGAGATCGGCGAAGGTCACCCAAGGGAGGACAGACCAAGCCGATGGAATCTTCAAAGACGAATACAAAAATATGAGTAGAATTGTGATTGAAAACCACATCTTTAGAGAGTCCCAGCAACTGAAGGAGGTATTAATTGCAAATAAATTTCTCCGCAAAGCCAAGGGCATAGTGAACGACGTGCCTCAGTTTCTGTGTAAGATTATAGAAGAATTCGAGAAGACGGAGTCGGTTGCGCAGGACAACATGTACCTCTTCGTCTTGCTGGCTCTGAACAAGTGGCTGAAGAAGGTGGGTCTTCCTCTTCGCGCGTCTTTTGGTCATCATTTTGCTGTGCTTCCATTTGGTGTGCTTCCTTTCGGTGTGCTTCTTTTTGAGTGTACTTCCATTTTGGTGTGTTTCCATTTTTGTGTGCTTCCTTTCGGTCTGCTTCCCTCCGGTGTGCCTCCCTGAAGGCGCGACTCGGTCATGGCTCAACTCTCCTCTCCACCCACAGATAGTCTCCGAGTGCGAGCGCTTCATCTCATTGAACAAGACCAAGGGGTACAAGAAAAAAACGGAGTGCGTGGAGATTCACAAGAAGATGAGCGATTACATGAATGACATCCTGCAGAGGGGAGCCGAGCAGACCATGGTCTTTAGCGAAGAGAAGGGTGGTCTGTTCCCCTACCCAGAAAACATCAGTTTCAATGTGAACACATCCTTCCTAACGTACTTCTTTCTATATATGAACAAAAACTTATTCAATTTTGTGGAGGGTTTCTACTCCACCTCTACGAGGAAGGGGTCGGGACAGAACAATAAAAAAAAAAGGGTCAAATTAATCAAGTGTCATTCGACAGCAAAGGAGAGTAGCCTCTACATGAGTAGCGACATGTACAGCTACCAGTTTCGGAACGAGCACGAGGAGGATTGCGAGGAGGGGGAGCAGCAGGAGGAGAGGAAGAAGAATAAGAACAACTGCAATAAGAACAACCACAACAAGAACAACAGCCACAACAACAGGGAGAACCCCCATCTGTCCAATTTGACGTTCCGCATCAACCGAGAAGACATGTACCCGAACATCTTTCTAATCTGTAATTATCTCCTCCTGGAAGAGACAAAAAAAATCATCACATCGATTTATCAGATTCAGAGGGGCTCCTTTGACCTCCTTCTATGCTACGATGCTTCCGTGATTATTCAGCTGGTGATCCGTCTGTTTGCAAATTTGAAGGAGCTCTTCGCCTGGGGCAGCTTCCACAGTTCGGCAGTGACGCAGCTAATACCGCCAAGCATGGCGCTAATACCGCCACACAGGGCCGAAGAGGAAGAAGAACTCGACTGCGATGACCTCCGCAAGTGCATTTCCGAAACGAAGATAAATTACGTCACCTCAAATTCATACGTCAAATGTGTAGGCCACATAAGATTGATGCTCTTGAATGTGTTGAAAATCCTCCATACGATGACAAAAGAGAGCGGTACCAGTTCTGTGTGTACCTTCTGGGACAAGGCGCACGTCCTCATGGGGGGGGAGAACCAACCTGATGTGGAATCCCCTGCCCGTGGAGAGGGACGTACTACTGATACAAACCAACATCGGGAGAGCTACACACACGAACGAGACCACCTCATACCTATAAAAAATGGGTGCAATAAAAAAAATTGCTACTTCTTTTGTAAGGAAAAACGGACTGACGATCCGAAGGATGGACTAACGCAACAAACGGAGGAACACACCAATAGAGCCATACAAAGGAGGATTCTATGTTACGATTTTTACAAATCAGTGATCGACCACATCAAGGCGGTTAAGGTGCTAATCGAAAACAGGAGTAACAGGGAGGAGCACACGGGAATTCTGCTTAAGAGGAACAATCGGTACAACATCGACGGAGGAATTGGCAGATATACAAGATCTGGTGGAGGCACGAAGGGAAAGAACAGTACCCTCGCTCGCGGACGTCACCCAGCAGTGAGGAAGCCCTCCCAAATGGTTGGCACGGCGACCGGGGTAAGCAACGAGCCGGTACATCTCGACCCAACAGATGGTAAAGCCTTCCCTCAAATTGGAAATAAACCCAACTGGAAGGGTAAAGCAGCCCAGAGAGATCGCCCCAGGGCTGCCTCAAAAAAGGGAACCCAGTCAAGTGTTACCCCCTCAGCACCAGCAACAGCAACCCACGCACAAGTGGCAAAAAGGGAGATGCCCAGAAATCAGATCCCCAAAATGGGAAAAGGACTATCATCTACCAGACTCACTTCACAGGATACACGAAATAGAACGAAGGCTCCCCCTAAGTCGGTGTTAAATACGGGGAAGACGAGCGCTGCTTCCTCCAAGCAGTAGGAACAAGTCGATTTGCACAGAGAAAAACTCTCACACCGTGTCACATGGTGTAACACGGCGTCACACGGAATCACACGAGTGGTCCACTGCCAGTGATGGACACCAAACTTGGCATGCAAAAAAAAGAAAAAAGTTTCCCCAAAATATGCAGCGGATCTATTTTATGGCCCACCTGGTGGTAGGATCTGCGCAAATGTAGAGAGAAAGCAGAAAGACCGTGGGAAAGCCAAATCTGAAGCACTTCCCCCAGGGTGCACCGCGATAATTGAAAGATGACCCATATAGAACTTCGCTTAGCTTGACTTATCTTATCTTAGCTTCGCTGCGCCCCGCTCCCCTCTAGAGGGGGATCCACTTCTTGTAAAAATCGTTCCCCTTGTCGTCTATGACGATGAAAGCCGGGAAGTCGACCACGTCGATGAGGTGCACAGCCTCCATCCCGAGCTCCGCAAAATCAATCACCTCCACTTTCTTAATATTGTTTTTGGCCAAAATGGCACCGGGGCCACCTATACTACCCAAGTAAAACCCGTGATACTTTCTGCATGCGTTCCGTACAACAGACGACCTGTTCCCTTTGGCTAGCGAAATTAAAGAAGCATCATTGCTCATAAGTACTTCAGCATAGGCGTCCATACGACCAGCGGTCGTCGGTCCAAAGGATCCACTAGCGTAATTATCTGGAGTTTTCGCTGGGCCTGCATAGTATATTGGGAACTTTTTAAAATACTCTGGGATTGGTTTTCCGTTCAGGACAAAATCATCCACTATTCTTTTGTGAGCTGTGTCTCTTGCGACTATTAACTTGCCCGTTAGGAGTAGCAGGGTCGACACGGGGTGTTTGGATAGACATTTGAGGATGCCTTCCATGGGCTGATTAAGGTTGATAGGGACGCCTCCCTCCCCCGGGAGGCCTCCCCCTGTTTTGTTTTCTCCGGGGTGAGCCTCCTCTATGTGCGGGGCGACCCCCCCGGCCTGCTTCAAATCCTTGTATGTAATTTCTGGGAGGTACTTAATCGGCTCATGCTCCAGCGCCTCCATGAATACCCCCTGTCGATTAATCACGCACTTTATTTGCCTATCGGCTGAGCAGGAGACTCCAATGCCAATTGGACAGGAAGCAGAATGCCGTGGCAGACGGATCACTCTCACATCATGCACAAAGTACTTTCCCCCAAACTGAGCACCTATACCTAGCCCCTGTGCCTTCTCCAAGATAATCTGCTCACTCTTGGTGTCTCGGAATGCCTTTCCATACGCACCCCCCTCCTTCTTCAAATTGTCTAAATACCTGCACGATGCTAACTTAACCATCTTTAAATTCATCTCAGCAGACAACCCTCCAATGACTACTGCCAAGTGGTATGGTGGGCACGCGGAGGTTCCTATTTCTTTAATTTTTTCGAGGAGAAAGTCGTACAGCTTGTCTTCGTTGAGGATGCTTTTGGTTTGCTGGAACAGGAAGGTCTTGTTTGCGCTCCCGCCGCCCTTGGCGATGAAGATCAGTTCGTACTTGGGGGAGGACGCGGTGGGAGGAGCAGACGCAACCGAAGCAGACGCAACCGAAGCAGACGCAACCGAAGCAGACGCAACCGAAGCAGACGCAGTAGAAGGGGCATTCCCCCCGCGAACGGAGCTGTAAATCTCGATCTGGCACGGCAAGTTGTTTTTTGTATTCTGCTCGCTGAACATGCTGAGGGGAGACAGCTGGCTGTATCGAAAGTTATTGTTGCGATAGGCATTGTAAACGCCCAAGTTCAAATACTTGTGCTCGTAAGTGGTTAATATTTCCTCGTCCTTTTTGCCCAAAATGATGGCCGTCCCCGTGTCCTGGCATCCAGGCAAGTTCTGCTCAGCACTAATCACGGCATTCTTAATTAAAGTCATGGCGACATACTTGTCATTCTTACTGGATTCTTCATCATTCAATATGTTACTCAGTTGCTTCAAATGTTTTTTATTTAAAAAAAATAAAATTTCTCTAAATGCACATTCGCATAATTTCGCTAAAACGAATGGAGGCACATGTATGTATTCCTTTATTCGTTCTCCTTCACTTTGCATGACCTGTTCAGGTAACTTTTTCAATTCTCCATTGGGGTGAAAAAAATTATCTTCATTTTCGAAATTGTATCCATAGTACTTACTTTGGTTAATTGGGCTCTCCTTAATTTTGATAACTTCAACGTATTTGCTTAGATCATCGATTCGTCTGTACTCTGTCTCGTCTTCTTTCGCATCTTCAAATTCGAGGACGTCTAGGAAGTTGCGCACTGTGTTTATGTTCGCCCTGTTAAAGCGGAACGGTTGCTTCCCCCCGAGGTGTGCGCTTTTGCTCAGGTACTTCCCGGAGGGGGGGCGGCAAAGCGGGATCCTCACAAAGTTACGCATTTTGTGCTTCCACGCCGGGGGTGAGTGGTCAGTTGTGATTAATCAGTTGCTCAGCTGATGTAGAAGTATGTTCACCCCCTTTGTCCACTTCGCCGCGCTGGTTCCCCTCGGCTATTTCGCCGAACTGCGCAAGAAGGAACACAGGGGGAAAAAACCAGAAGAGGAAAAAAAAGAAACAAAAAAAGAGGAATAAAGAGGAAGAAACAAAAAAAGAGGAATAAAGAGGAAGAAAAAAAAAAGAAGCACAAAAAGGAACAAAAAAAAAAGAAGCATAGAAAGGAACAAAAAAATACAAGCACATAAAAGTAAGGGAACAGTTACATATGCGCAGCCCCCCTGTGCCGCCATTAATTTGTCATTCCTTTGGTCCTTACAAAGCGGCCCCTCCATCCGCGCTACATTTCCAAGTGTGATGATGCAACGGGGAAACAAGAAGAAAAAAAAAAAATAGAAAAATTCATGCACTGAGCGAAATAGGAATTCTCCTAACCTTGTACGTGCAACTGTGCCTTCAAGGAAGAGGCGAGTTCAGCAGACCGGGTGATTAGCGCTTTTTTTTTCGCGCATACTGTATCGCGGATTATGCGAAAATTAATTTGTTTTTCTTTGCTTTGCTTTTTTTTTTATTTCTTTTTGTACAGACAGCACCTCTTATACATTGCGTTGTCGCTTGTTCTCACGCTTTCACGAAGATAGGGGATCCGCATCGCGCATACATAAAGCTATACGTCCGCATGGGGATGATAAAGACGGCACACCAAAGTTCAGATCTGCATCGACGTTGGTATTTCCTCTCGACGGGAATGTATGCAAATGGGCAAGTGCAGTGTGTAACAATGTAGAGTCCCCCAGTTGTTTGTAAAAAGAAAAAAAAAAAAAAAAAAAACTGATGGTACAGGAGAAAACAAACAAGTGAACAAAATGTCTGGCGCTATTAAAAAAGGCACGCATCTGCGCAACGTTGAAAAGAGAGGGTTCCGTATGGGAAGAATGAAAAAAGGACGGAAAAAAAAGATAAACTTTTAAAAATAAAGAGAAAATTAATTTTACGTAAAAAAAAATTGGAAAACTTATCATTGTACAAGTGAACGGGACACACGTGCGAATGGAAAATGAGGCGTCCAATCGAAGCACAACAAACTCAGGGACTCATTCTTCATGTCGTGAAAATACACAACACATGCCCTGTGATGGGTGTGCCCGAACAGGTAAGAAGCATTCCGCACCACCGAATGGGGTATGCACTGCAAAAAAAAGAAAGAAAAAAAAACAATACTTTCAAATGAAGGGTGCCTTTGCAAAAAGGGCGGATGGAACACCTCTCCTGCGTGCTGCCCTCAATTGGGGAAGCACACACACATTGGGAGATGAAATGGAAGGAGTTAGAATGTTAACGGGGAAACAGCCCCCTACACACCCACACAAACACCCTCAACGTAAAATGGCGAAATTGAGCATCAGTTCGGGAAGCGCAGTGTGTCAGTCGATACTGCGCTGCGGGGAAACACTACAGTTTTTTTTTTTTTTTTTTTTTTTTTTTTTAAAAGCTACTGCGAGGAATCCGTTCGCGTCGGGCTCATCATCCTTCGGGAACTCCATTTAGCGGAAGGCTCCACTTTTTATGTTGACCCACATTTCGCTGCGAATCGGTGGAGGGGGGCAAGCAACAGTTGAACTGCCTTTGTTCCATATGTCATTTTTGCGCGGAAGACGTGTTATGTTTCTCCGCCTGTGACGCTTCTACCTCGCCCGCTCCTCTTCTTCCTCTTCCATCACGTCCACTTCCTCGTCCCCTCTGACTAAACAATCGCACAACCCGCTGAACCTATACGTCAGGGGGTTATAACTGCGCGGGCCTTTTTTATTGTCCTGGTTGCCTCCGTCTGAAAGGCCCTCCTCATTCTGTTCCCGTCTGCCATTCTCGGTCAATGAATTGATTTTCCCCATCTTCGCCACTTCCCTACTAGCGTTGTGCAAATAGTTGGTAAACCTCTCATCACTTTTGTAGGCCATTTCGTATGAGTCTATGTGTGCGTTCAGGGGGGGGTTGTTCCTGTGTGTATCCATCACGTGGTTGGGATGGTTGTACAGGGCTATCGGTGGCTGTTCCGCACGACTGCAGCAGCCATTCCGGTATCCCTGCTTCTGGTGCTCGCCTTGGCTCTCTCGTCCGCAGCCTCCGTGAAGAGTCCCCCCATTTAAGAGGCTACCTTCCACAGCAACGTTTTGCTGTGTTCGCCTAGTGAACCCCACCTGGGAGGCGCTCAAGCTGCCATAGTTCACCTCACACATGTCTGCCAAATTCATGTTGTCTCCAAAATTGTTCCTTGTACCCTGGAGAGCATTTTCCCTACGCAGGTAACTCAAGCCATTCAGGTGCTGTCCATCATTTTTCAAAAAAAAAAAATCACCTATGTTGTAGCTAGACATACCATTCGCGCAGTCGTTCAGGAGCATTTTGTGCAATTCCTCCGTTCGGCCCAGTTCGCCTGTCGGGTCAACCTTCCTCATGTTCCTTTCCCTTGAATTGTAACTGTTGCTGTTTTCTATGTCTTCTCCATTTTCATTCACTCCACTGCAATTGGGGGTGCAGTACATGTTTGTCTTCCCCATCAAAATGTTCTTCATGACTGTGTCGTTGCCGTTGTCGTCGTAACTGCCACGGCTGCAATGCATGCTATGACTGCCATTAATGCTATGACTACCATGGGGGGGTTCACTTCCATTCGTTAGGAACATGCCATCTGGAGTCACTCGAGCAGCTATGTCCTTCTTGCTGACTTCGATTCTCCCTCTGTCCAGGTTTATTTCTCTACTTGTAGTGGTGCCTCCCTCTATGTAGTTACTTATGTGGTTAAAAAAGTACTTTTCTGCCTGAATGTCGTAATTTTCCGTTTTTTTTCCAACTCCTCCTTGGAGGGGGAAGACATTTGCACTAGGGTATTGCTGGGCACTCAACACATCCGCAAGGCTGTAATTGCTACTTTCCTTTTGGGGAGTCTTCACTCCAATCATCCTCCTCTGGGAGTCTACCTTTCTGTAGATGCTGCTCAAGTCATAGTGGGCTTCCATCATTTGATCCTGGACGCTACTGGCACTTCCGAGGCTTCTATTCGGGGTGCCACTGCTCTGGATTCCGCTATTCTGGGTGTCGCTCTTCTGCTGGTTGCACAAATGGGTCATGCTCGTTTGGACGTTCCTCAGGCTGCACAGGTTGGCCACTCCGTTCTCAGTCAACTCTGAATAGCTGACGCCTCCAAGAAGCCCATTAGTGGTAAACCCAGAACCTCCACCAACAAACCCATTCGTGGTGAATCCAGAAGAACCTCCCGCAACAAACCCACTCGCCGCACTTTCTCCAGCTCCGTTGAGGCACTCCCCCGTTTGCCTGCATTGCCCAGAATATCCATTTTGTTGGTTCCGGTGGTTCGAATATTTGTCACTTAGAAGAAGCATCTTAAGTTCGCTGTCTGCGATGTTGTTCGAGAAGGAGGCACGTTTGTATATTTGTTCTTCCTCGGGGTGAAGGTCCTTCGATTTAATGACGGTTAGTTCGTTGTCTCCGGAGTGGTCCTCCTCTGATTGGTTATCCTGCGAGTGGTTATCCTCCGAGTGGTTCTCCTCTGACTGGTCCTCCTCCGAGTGGTCCTCCTCCGAGGGGTCCTCCTCCGAGTGTGTATCTTCCCCCGTGTGGATATCTCCTTCGGACCCCATTTCTCCCTCCTTCGTGTCTTTTAGTTCAGCGGGCTCACCGCCCAAGGCGCTTTCCCCATTGATAGTTTTCACCATGGAGTGCGTGGGAATCTGCTTCTTGGAGAGACTCAGATTGTTCATGTTCTGGATGAGGCTCTCTAGGCTGAAGCGGTTGGAGCCGTTGACGCGGTTGGAGCCGTTGAAGCGGTCTTCCTCGTTCAGGAGTTGGACGTTAGAGTTCTCTTCCTTGTTGACTTCCACACAGTTAAAACCATTTCCCTGACTGAAGCAGATCAAATCGCCCACGCCATTCATGCCGTTCGAGTTGTCCACCTCGTGAAAGACGCCTCCCTCACCAACGTCCTTCTGCACGCCAAGGCGACCACTGTAGTTAAAACGCAATCCCAGATCATCGCAATTGTCTATATTCTCCTTTGTCCTATTAAAATACATCCTACCGTCGCTGTAAAAATTAGATCCACCCTTCACATGTTCATATGTCGTCGTATTGGAATCAAAAAGGGAGTTCTCTGGATACTCCTTTTTTTTTATCTTGTTGAAAAAGTAGTTTTCTACCTGTACGTTCAGGTGCTTATATCTCTCCATTTCGTTCAGCATCTCGAATTTTATATTGGGGCTCATTTTGCAGCTGACGTCTGGGCTCATGTTGGAGGTCATCTCGGGGCTCATATTTGAGTGCACATTGCCTTGATCTAATTTGTTGATGCTCCCAAAGTTGCAATCAAAATGATCCCCCCTAGGGAGGAACACATTTTCTTCGTGGGGAAACCCATTTTCGTGGTGTTCACTGGGTAGCTTCCCTTTTCGCAGGCGCTCTCCGCGTACCCCGTCAAGGCCACTCACCCGGTGGATGCTACTCACCCTGTCAAGGCCACCCACCCTATACGCAAAGAACTTCGCAGGGACACCTTCACCCTCACGTCCGAAACTACTATCGTCATAGGTGAATTCCCTGCATGATAGCTTGTCTCCCATTTTTGCAACTTGTTCGTTCTGATGGAAGTCTCCATTTTGATGGAAGTCTCCATTTTGGTGGAACTCTCCGTTTTGGATAAAATCCATCTTAGCAAAGTTGTCTCCTTTCGCGCCTCTTCTTTTTTGGGCATCTCTCTCTGCGAGGAAAAAGATAACAGGGGGTGCATCAGTGGCGCGTTAGAGTGGACGGGAAGAAACAGCGCAGGAATGCACAGGAAGGGAACCTCCAAGAGAGGAGGCCCCCGAAAGGTGTCCCAGGAGAGGCAACCCAGGAGAGGCAACCACGGAAAGGTAACCCCACAAAGATGACCCTCTCAGGACGTACCGGTTCCCCCAATCCTCTCGAGAAGATACTCACTGTACGTCTTCTTCCCGTGACGTTTTAAGAAGTTAAAACTATTTCTGTGGGAACCCTGTGCATCCTTTTCTGCTTCTTCCAAATGGCTTATTACTCCGTAACGGTTTCTATTGTCATCAGGGAGGGTTTCTTCCTCCTTGTCTTTCACGCTGTAGATGTTTCTCTTCACATTAAGGGGGTCTCCTCCCTCGTTAATGTTGGCATTACCAGTGTCCCCATCGTTGCTTTCACTTTCGTCTCTCTTCTTATTCGACTTGCGTTTGTAAAAACTTGGGTCTTCTCCTTCCTCTTCCGCCTCATCGTTGTACATTCTGTTCATTAGTTCACTGCTGGAAAATTTCACGGAGGGGTCCAGCTGGTTTATATTGTGGGCCATTGGACATTTGTCCGCTTTGGCGCAGTATCCTTCGAAGTGGGACAACGGGGAGAAGTGAGCAAAGGGTTCATGGGAAATGTGAAAACAGACACGAAGGTATACAAACAGGGGGGCATACAAAGACACGTGTTAGGAATGGGGGAGGGTAGGGGCAATCCCAAATGGACACACCAAAAAAACGATGCAAATGAAATTATCCCCAGTGACATAGAACGGGAAGAGAAGAAGAAAAAACTAACCATCTAAAAAGTACTTGGTGCATAATCTAAGGGCCTTTCCAGATCCTCGGAGTTCTTCCTCTGTGTGCGCAAATGTGCATTTGGATGCTTCGCAATAACTGCCTGATAAGAAGGTGTAGCACATTCTTGTCTGCCAGAAGAGGAGAGGGGGGGGAAAGAAAATAAGACAAAGAATACAAAGTGATGATGACGTGGCCTCGACAGAAAAAAAACGATGGGATGACGAGTGAACTACCTTCAAGAAGCTATTACCTTGTAAAATTGGGGCATGGGCCTCACGTCCAACTCACCATGTGCCCAACTACACTTGTTGCCTCTAGCGCAGATTCCCTTCGCGTAAAAGGAGCACAGTTGTGTTTTGTAAAGCCTACAGAGGGGGGGTAGCGGAGGAGCGTTATATAGCTGGACATGTCTGCTCCTATACTCGGGGATGTTCTATGACGTGGCTCTACACATGGGGAGCAAAGCTACGGAGCACGCGAAGTTCTAATTTATATTTCTCTATAGACGTACATTTTTCCTGCAACAAGGGGTGTGTAACAAAAGGGGGGTGCTTCTGTTTCTTCCTCTCGGGGCTCTTGTGTCTGGACTGTACCACGCCTTCTTGTCCTTAAAGCGTAGCAGTGGGAAAAAAAGTCCGCGGGGTTACAGTAGAACGCCGGCTAACTATGTCTGTAGCTATTCTGTTAAACGTATCTGTGCGTTCTTGCAGTGGTGGAACCGAGCGAGCGAGCCCTTTCAGTGCACCCTCAAATTGTGCATACGCGAAAAAAAGGCTCTGTTCCCCGGGGCAGACGCACAGCAGGCGGGGATAGGACTTAGCGTCAGAACTGAACGGTAGAAATGAGCGGTAGAACTCAGCGGCAGATCAGACCGACGCAAACGAACGCCGTCGCGAGGATCACAAAACAGATCGAAATGCTGTCGACACAAATCAACTGTATATACACGTGCACTATTAAAGCAAACTGCATTTAAAAGACATTCAAAATGGTCATTCAAATTGCTCATTCAAAATGCTCATTTAAAGTGTCATTTCACTGACCAAAAAAAAAAAAAGTACGTGATGGGAATTTGAGTACACAAAAATGGGAAACTACACACAAGCAGCTCTGCCTACACGTGGGTTAAAAAAGGGGGGAGGCTCCACGAGGGGAAAAAAAAAAATTATATACATATATATCTATGCATATGTATCCATGTGTAACCCCTTCAACAGCAGGCACGTTAAAAACTTTTCGCACAATTGATAAGAAGCAAGGCACGGGGGGTAGCAAAAGGGAGAGTACCCCTTTTATTCTAAAAAACGGTGATTCTCATACTCAGTGGCTGAGTCGGTGATGCCGTAAATTCGGACAACACGCAGGGGTGTATCTACTCATATTTGTAGATTTTCCTGGGGTGCATATCCCTAGGCGCGTTTGTTGACTTCTCTCTTTTTTTTTTTTTGTTTTTAGTAATACTTTTTACAACTGGCTTGTAGCTTTCTTCCTCTTGTCGTTCCCGAGTGAACGTTTGCAACCTGGCCCCTCTCCTTCCTCCTAATGAGTAACCGCTATGCCTGGTTGTCGCTCTCGCTCAGGAGAGAAAAAAAAAAAACACCATTAAACAACAGACATAATTTGATCAGTTCAACTTTTATTGCATTGGTATTACATATACCTCACGCACGCTTTCGTATCTTCATGTGCACATTTAAATAAAAAAAACTCCAGAGTGGGCACAGGTAAAACGCAGAAATGGTTAAAAAAGGGGGAAGGCAAGAACAAAAGTGTGTGATCCCTATGAATGTTGTGGGCACACGTGCGTGGATGTACTTATGGGAAATGCAAGCCGAGGCGCACTACTTGGTGCTGCTTGTACCGTGCAGTGAGAATTGGCGCGGTTTGGCTGCACTGAGCGGCGCACTTCTCGTGGCGCCACTGAACCGAGCACTAACTGAAACGGTTGCCCACAGGAAACTGGGATGTAATTCTCTATACATAAAAAGAGCAAAAAAAAAAAAAAAAAATTGACGTGGTGAAACCTATCCGATGGGTGCTCTTTTCATATATGGCCAACACTCCACCTGTGCATGTAAAAGTAGTAGTACACGCATGCACACTCACACGGTGCTTGTGGCATACACGACGGGCACTCCAGACGGGAATTTAAAAACTGAGAGGAATTAAAAAAAAAAAAAAAAAGA